CATGTGGGATTAAACCGCATTCACTTTTACTGACGCGAACACATGCTTCAATTACGCTTCCTCCTATTGTCTGTCCCCTGAAACGTGGAAGCTCATCAAACATTCACTGCCACGAAAATCGCAGATACGCTGTGAAATAACGATGTATGTCGCGCACGTGATGGCGAACGAGGAAGCGCAATGGCGGCTGGTTCCCCCGCGTGAGGCGTGAGGTCAGCCTCGTCTATTTGTCAAGTAACTTCAGTGATTTTACTTACTCGGGTGTCTTCGTTGAAGCTACCCGAGTTGCTTCGTACGGAGACGTTTGTTTTGTTAACTTTCCATCCGATAGGAAACGACGACGGCCCCTCGATCATGGGGGGTGTTTGTGCTTTAATTGCCGAGCTGTCAGAAAAAGGCTTAGGCTTTGACTTGACGTTGGTCATAGAGGAGAAGTCAGCAGGCTTCATCCTCTGGGCTCCTTAAAAAGTCGGCACTGAATTTCAAAGCCAGAACACGATCCTTGAGATATTAAAAGGTTCCTCCCATGGCGGCCGTAGCTGCTCTGCTGTGAGACGTGACGCTCGCGTGCCTCAGAACTGGATGTTCTCGGTTTGTCATTACAGATGTGACGTACCGGGTTTCTGCACCTCTTTCTCGGAGTTCATCGCTGGCGATGCGCGACGTGCTCGTGTAACATCGCTTCACGCCGCTCTCTCTCCTCCGACGGACAGATACACAACAAGGGAAAGAGGGAATCCTCCTCCTCCTCCTCCTCCTCCTCCTCTCCTGCTCGAGGTTATCATGAGTGCCGGGGTCGCTTCAACCGTGGCATACGTCCCAAATACTTCAAAGAGGGACACGTTCACACACACACACACACACACACACACACACACACACACACACACACACACACACAAACACACACACACACACACACACACACACACACACACACACAGGCAGTCAGCCAGACAAACAAATAATTAACAAAGTCAGTGAGATTAATTAAAGCAGCAGGGTTCAGGGAGGGTTCAGCCTGTGTGTGTGTGTGTGTGTGTGTGTGTGTGTGTGTGAGGGGGGAACAGGGACTCCCCTGTTGGATGTGATTAGGGAACCGAGGGAGAAAGAGAGAAGAGGGAAAGCAGTGGCTGCCATTGATATCCATCTTCATGTAAACAGCTGGGTGTGTGTAGGTGAGCGAGTGTGAGCGCGCGCGTGTGTGTGTGTGTGTGTGTGTGTGTGTGTGTGTGTAGTAACTTCACGTCCTACTGATCTTCAAATAACAGTTTGCCGACAAATATTTACTTAAATCCAATCGGCGGCGGGAATCCTGACCAGTTACTTTGGGATGAGGATGAATACGACACTGTGAGAATAAGTCTGTATATAAAATATATATATGTATACTTTATATATGTTTTGCTTTGCAGGTGTCATTTTCTGCACAAAACAGAAACTACTAAATTAAATAAAATGAATAAATACTGAGAAACACGTACACTAATACCTGAAGAAGTTAATGGGACCTTTGACCTTTGAACCCCTTTGGATTCCCCTCATCTTCTTCTGACTGTTTCATATGTATTAAACACTGTACAAAATCTTCACAGCAGCTTTATGATGTTTAAACTGATTGAAAATATCCAGACGTTTTTATGCAAATTGGACCACATGTCAGCCGGTTTGCCGCTTTCGGACCCGTCCTCACTTCCTCCCTACCCTCTCCACCCTCCCTCCCTCCGTCGTCCTCTCGGCTCGGTCCCTCTTTCAGCTCAGTGTTGTGGGAGCAGCGCTCCCCTGCATCACAAAGCCCGTTCTCCCAGCTTGTCCCATTGTGTTGCGAACATCGCAGGTAATGATTAACACAAACACACAACAATAGGAGCTGCAGCAACCCAGCCGGCGTGGGAGTCGATGGCCGATGCACAAGTTTCCATGACATTTTGTTGTGGTGCAACGATGCCGTGCTAAGGGACCTAATAGTCTGTGAAATGCTCACTGATGTTTGGTCTGATTTGCAATTGTCTGCTGGAGACTAAACAATTGTGTCAATTCAAAAGACAACAACCCATTTGCACATATATCTCGGTTGCAAACGCCCAGTTTATCGTCTTAGCTTCCGGTTGAACAGACCTGAGGCGTTGATAGAAATCAGTTTGACCAACAGCTCGGTTTGCATGAAGACGTGCACACGTTCTGCAGTGATTGGCCACAAATCAAAATCTTACATCCATATTTACTTTCCTGAAGCGATTTCTGGTGAAAAAAACCCCACTATAAACATGCGTGCCTTTAACTGAAGATGCTCCATTATCGACATCCAAAAGGGACGCATTTGTTAAACTGTCTAAAATTTAAATATAAATGAGACGTGATGTCTTCCACAATGTGTCCCTGCTGTGAAGTGGACTAATGAGTGACCGGCCACACCTCACAAATTCCTACTGACCTTTATTCCACCTCACTTTCCCTCCACTCACGCACCCCCCTAACCTCACATCACCCCAACGATTATTATTCAACCCCAACATCGACCCCCCTCCTCCTCCAATCTGTTATCAGCTGTCAGGCACCAACCAGCCCTGGCATTCCCCCATTAACATTAACATCAGTATGCAGCGGGCTATCAATGCTATCTGCAGCTCGGGGCACCGGGGAGGACCCGGCGGATCACTGATGTCATCAGATAAAGATGTGGGAGGCGATGGAGGGTCCGCTTCAGGGAGGGGGAGGGGTCTCAAGTTGTTGTATTTGGTTGTGTATTAGTTGTAGTTTTTCACGTTGTATTTGCTGTGTTTACGTCTTTGTCTTCACGTCACTGTTGCTTCAGTTGGAGCAGTTCTGCGGTAACAGTGTAAATCTTGGAATAACTTTTGGGAAAAAACGTGTGTTTACGCGCAAGTAGTGAAAATGTCTTTTCCGGTATCTGTTTAGTAGACAGTGAAGATGTGACTACAGTGATTACTCGTTTTTAATATACGCTGCTCATTCAGTCTCTCTTTCAAACTGCGTGTGGGCACACTGACAGACCTACTTATATTCCATTTGACATTAAATGCTGGTGTTCAATACATTTTGAGTGTGTGTGTGAAGTAGTTGAGGTGCCTGTGATCCCACCTCTGTACCATTAGCACAACAAAAACATGCAATAACATCAACACCTCGCTCTCCTCCCCGAAACACAGGTGTGTTAACGCGATTCATCAGGCTATAAACACGTAGAGTTGCTGTTACGTTACTATCGGGGACGTTTTATTAACTTGGAGGCTCTAAACTCAATGATGTTGTCGGGATTTGCAACCGTCTCCACTTCATACCCCGTAAAAGGTAAGTCGCCACAAAGTCATCGATGAGTTGATTAAAGCGCACTCCCGCCCACCTGCACGCACGAACACCTGACCTCCACAAGAACTCAACCTCAAAAAGAGGTCAGGACAAACTCTGTAGGCGGACGTACCAGTTCACAAGCTCACAGAAGTCCGGCAGTCCACCATCATCAGCACAGATTCGATCTACTTTATCACTTCCACTCGGCCTTCTTTATTTGCGTACTTTGACTTTGGTTGTAAAGCTCCGTCTGACCGGCAGAAGCACCGAGAAGTGTCAAAGGTCAAATCTGGAATTCATTTCAGCACATAAGTTTGATGTAAGCAGGGAGAGTCTCACGCGATAAAGCGCACAAGGTGTGCAGCTTCTCTTCAGGGTGACGCAGCTCAGCGGCGGCTCGGCTGAAGCGGGTATCACGTAACCATGTTTGGATCTGGGCCAGGACCTTTGTAGCTTGTGATTGCTCTCTTGCATCAGCACTTCCTGTCTTTCTCCATGACAAACAAAAACAATAATCCTGTGGGATCAGAGGCTTAAATCAGTGTCATTCTGGATGCAGGCGAGCTACCTGGCTAAACTAAATAGCTTGGAACACAACTCAGTTCCCAATGAAGTATTTTAAAACATGAATGTGCCTCCAAATTTGTGGAAACAAGGACATTGACCCGCAGAGACCTTAAATAATTTGGTTGTGTGCTCGGTTATGCAATGGTGATGAATGCGGCGAATCCTCTATTTCTTACTTACTAAATCATTGTGTCTAATCTTGAAAGAAACTAAATTTAATATTGCTTTAATATTGCAGCTCATACAGAAATTGGAGGGAGTAACGAATAAAACCAAAAAGTAAACAAAAATAAAAGAGATACATTATTCAAAGACAGATGTATTTAATTACAATCAAGTTTATTGCCCGGTAACTTACAAGGACGTCATGTTAATGACAGTTATTGACTGTACTCCATGTACTTTATTGTCATTATCCGTGTTGTCTTTTCACGTCCAGCGTGCTGATCTCATTTAACATTATCACCGTATTTTAAGTGTTCTGCCTCAGTCAATTGAATAAAACATCAGAGCATTAACACACGGGTCTTAGCTGATAAAAACGGGCCTGGGCTGCAGCTCTAATGGGATTACGCGCTCTTCTTCCATTCACTGATGCAATTAAAACACCCACCAAAGGAACCGAATGCGAGGTCCTGATGCTCTGTTTGCATAACCCGCAATTAGCCTGCAATAAATGATCCAGGCGAAGTGATTTACGGGCGTCTTTTGGCACACGCTCGCTCCCCGTATGAGACGTTTGTAAAAGTACAGTTTGCGCGCACATTTATAAAAGTTGTGTTACATCTTGTTCGGGTGCGTGAACGCGCTTTGCCCCGCGGAGAGGAGGGAGGGAGGGAGGGGATGGAGGGGGGGGGCAATACTTGGGTTGTATTCGCCACTTCTCTCGAGGGACGGGGTCTTTTGGTGTGTAGGGGAGGGGGGATAACAGAAGCGCACCCCTCCCTCTCTCCCCCTCCCTCCCTCCCTCCCTCTCTCTCTCTCTCTCCCCACCAGCAGCCCCCCTCCCCCCTCCCCCCTCCCCGGGCTGCTCACACACCATTGTTGTTGTCACTGAGGTCCGGAGAGCAGTGGAGTGTTCATGCTGGTTTGTGCAGGACACATTCTCTCTCCCTCCCTCCCTCCCTCTCTCTCTCTCCCCCCTCCTCTCTCTCTCTCTCTCTGAGGAGGCTGAGGTCCACTTTTGAGCGGCAGAGCTCAGATCTGATCGGGAGACACTCACACGGGGAGCGGAGACCTCGCCGGAGCGCTGCGTAAAGACGCACGTAAAGAGTTGTCCAAGTCTACGGTCCAACAGAAAGAGGACTCACAACTGCGGGGCACGTTTATTTTTTATTTTTTATCACGCTCTATTAATCTCTTACTCTCCACACCTCGGGATTTTTTCCCCTCAAATTTCTTTAAACTTAAAACGTAAGTTTTGTTACACGCGCAGATCCACTCTCTGGCTCCGTGTTGGGTTTTCTTTGTCTCCACGGATTTCGCCCTGTGAGCGGCCGGCCGCAGTGGACTTTGCCCGGGGGCGGGCGGCGGCGGGGGGGGGGGGGGGGATCACAGCTCCTTCCATCGGCCAGCAGAGCCCGGCAGCTGTCGTTCATGTTCCAAGGGGCTGTTTTTAATGGATTTATAAGGTCGACTTGGGTTTCAGCCGGATAAACCAGAGCCTCCTGGGGAAGGTACAAGGGCGACAACGAAGCTCCAAATGAGGATTTCAATATTTACTCGTATCGAGCGGGACAAGGAGTGAGTTCCTCCCCGGTGCCAGTCATCTGTGCGCCCGCAGACCGAGAAGGAAAAGGTGGGTGAGTGGTGAATGTAGACCAAGTCATCTGGGGGTTTGTTGTTTCATTCACGTGTCGCGGGAATCCTCGATGAAACCGTAATTGATTGAAACCCGTGGTGCGAGTTCCTTCCACCTTTAAATTCGTTTTCATAAAAATAAATCAAGGCACTGAATTAAAGCCCAGGAAGGTTGTTTTTTTTTGCTCCACCTGCGGGGATCGCAGGACGTCGTTGTTTTCACATCAGGCGAAGAAGTTTGTCTGTCAGACATTGAACCTTCCACACGGACTATTTGTTTGAGGGGAAAAGACGCTTTAGAGTTTGAACTCTGTCACACCACAGAATAAAAAATATTAAAATACATGTTAATGGCATTTACCCCGCGCGATGACACTCCTGCAAGTAAATCATCTTGTTCCTCCCGTAATATGTGATGTCAAGTGTTCATTTGCTAAGCGATTCTGGTAGTTCTTGAATCGATCTGTCAGACACCCGGTTGAATGGATTGATTGACGGTGTTTGGTGGTTCATGTTTGATGCCCACGGTGCACACGACTGATTCATTACGTGTGATTGATGCTGCACAAAAAAACACTCCACATCTGTCTCGCCGAGAAGAAAGCGAAATGCAGCAGCAGGAGAGAGAAGAAAAAAAGCAGCCCTTAATTAATTGAGAAAGAATACGTTTCAGCAGACTGGTTCTTTAAACGGTGTGTGTCCGCGGGAGGGGGGAGGGAGGGGAGAGGGGGGGGCGCACCGGGGTCTGGCGCCTGTGCGCAGTTGGTCACTGCCTTATTCCTGTCGTGTTCCCACTGTAGGCTGTTAGAGTTTATCGTGTGTGTGCAGGACTTCATAGTGAGTGCCTTGTGCTTAGATTACACTGGTAAGTGTTCTTGCAGATATCTCTTCGTGACCATATTTTGAGATGGAATTGAGGGTATTTATTGTACTATTTATACAGAAATGCACATTTTGTGCACGTTTTGTCATTAACGTTGATACTTGAGTTGCATTGCATTATGTCATAAAATAATGTCATTTTCAGACAACGATGCCAAACATCAACTTCATATTGGGAATCTGGGAGTGGGATTTATTTGACTGTCCTCTGACAAACAGTGATGTGAAATGCTCAGATTCGAGGTATCACACGAGCCCCCCCCCCCCCCCCCCCCGCCCCCCTTCGTGCAGTCAGCTTGATGCTCCAGTGATCGGTCACCTGCAGCCTCATGCCAGCTGCCGGCCGAGTCTCTGCTGCTCCCGCAGATTCCGTGGCTTCCTGGCAGGTTTCAAGTGTTTTCCCAGTTAGGGCCCATTATTGCGGGGCAGGCTGAGCGGGGCCATCCACTGACAAACAACAGGCTCCTCATTCGCGACGCAGGAGAGCCTGGCCAATGTAAGGCCGACGAGCGGGGCAGATAGCAGGACGACTGCCTGGTCTGAAGTTGAATGGAGAGCTTTGGGTCTTTAGCTATTCTCCAGACGGATCGCCGATCAGCAGATAACACGTCTCCCATTCTGGTTGTTTCCATCTGCAGGATACTATTTTGAGGCTTTGTGGGTTTTCTGAAGATTCCGATGCACGGGACCGGAGTGTGAAGCCCACTCCAGGCTTCCCACGTACATTTCTGCCTTTTTGACCGGAACACGGGCACGAAGAAGATGGAGAGGATCTGCACGTTCTGCGTTCTCCTGCTGTGTTTGATGGACGGAGTCTTGTCCAGGGCCATCAACCAAGCGAGGACTAAAGGTAAGACCTGAACTGCTTTTCTTCCACCGCACGTCACGATGTTTATCCTCAAGACAGAGAGGCAGCAGTCCAGTCCGAGAAGGAGGAAGGTGAAGAGGAGGGAAAAAAGCTCTCAGTGTTTTTGCCGCCTTAAACTGAGCTACCTGATCCGTCCGAGGCCCCGGGGCTTGGAAGTGTAAATCTGCCCGCCTGAGTGCCAGCTACGGAGGGAGGGGGCATTTCTCACTCGATACTTGATAAACAGAAGCCAATGCAGAGAGTCAGCAACTGTCAGAATAGTTTCAGAGTGAAGGTGCAATCATTCAGCGTGGTTACATGGATTCCAATAACTGGCTTAGTCGGACTGAAATGGAATTATCCGTTTCATGTAAACACCTTTGCTCGACTATGTGCGGTCCGACTACGATCCGACTAACACCCCTGGATAACTCGATCCGATCCAGTTGGTAGTTCGACTATTGCGGCATGTAACGGTGAATCGGATGAGGAACTGGACCTTGCGTCTTTGCGCATGCTTGAGATCCCGACGGCATCTTCTCTCCGTTATCAAATCAGCCAATAGCGCCATTCGCATTCGCTGTGCTCCTATTAACACCATGCACACATAGCAGAGGGACGTAGCTTCACCTTGCTCTCCGTTCGCCATCTTTCTCCTAATGTTGATGTTGTTGTTGTTGGTTGTTGTTGGTAGTGGTGAAGAGGTCAAGCGGAAATGGCTGTATCACAACTAGCTGTACTGAAAACAGCGCCACCTATCGTATCGGATATGACGATATGCTTTCGGCCAATGATTCGATTTATTCACTGCCATGTATATTGGGATAATAGCACCTCCCCCCGAAAGACACCATAGTCCGACTAAGCAAAGATTCCAATTATACCACCATGTAAACACACCGAGTAAACATGTCCAATGCAATCAGTCAATTCAGGCGATTCCCCTTTGGCGTGAAGCAGATCATTTAAGTCAGATCAAAAGATTAGGGGACATTTTTGTGTGTGGATGGATGAAAGACAAGGTGGGTTGTTGCCCCGGAGGCATCGAACACAGAAGCTGTCTCTTCTGGATCTTTGTACTTGCGGGCCCCTACAAGGCCAGCCGAGGCACGCTTGCTCAGAGGACAACGTGCACAGAAAAAACCCTCTCTGGTTAATTTAGGACAGAAGAGTTAAGAGTCAAACCAAGATTCATCATGCAGAGATCTGAAGGTCGTAAAACATGCAAATTGAAGCTTTGAAAGCAGCATTCCAACTTTTATGTTGATCTTTTGGAGTTTCAAACAGCTCCCGCTCAAATGTGTTATTTTAGAATAGACTTAAAATCAAAGTGGAAGAATCCTTCCCCAATTTTATGCAGGCAAACAAGCCACTGGGCGTTTTCTGTCATGTTACTAAATATAATTACACACACATGGTACTAACCACATACTGCTAAATGCAGGGATCTAACTTGTGCAATGTCCAGTCGTGTTTTCTGCAACATCATTACAGATTACAGAAAAGTCTGAGTATAGCTTTTGTCTGTACATATCTGGCAAGCTTAAATAGCTTTTGGATGCTCTTTATTTATACATAAACATCATTATAAAAACAAGAAACACAGATGATGTCGCAGTTTGCCCCGGCAACTTAAATCCTTTAAAGATATCTAGCAAAGCATGAAATCATATTCAATGCAATATGATGACCAGCGATAGCAAATTAGCTATTCATACATACGTTCATACATCTGGCATGTTGAAGTCGTAGGTCAATCTATGACCTCAGAAACAGTACTGTGAAATGTTTGAACGGGCTCTGCCTGCAGTTCTGAAATGCCGCAGGTCAGGCCTTGAGACTCCACATCGTCCCAACTGGTTTCGACCCAGAGCGCCGCTCCGCCGGCCCAGCAGGCCGATGCCTTGCTCGCTCAGGCCGAGCGGTTTGTTTGTGTTGTGTTTTGTGTGCCCCCCTCGCCTCTGGGTGACAATTCACACTCTGCCTGGAGTTCAACTCTAGGGCACCGTCCCCTTCTCTGCAAGTTCATTAGCACGGCTGTAAATGCGTGTGTCTGCTCATCCCTGAGGTTTTTACTGTGTTCGCCCCATTAGATGAAGAGGCTTGTTGGGATCTCTTTAGTGTTATTGTGTGAGGTGTTAAAACTGTCCACCAACACGTGTCCTTTAATTTGTTTTCTTAAGGTTGCTTTTCACTGATCAGCGCATCTCAAAGGTTGTAGCCGTGTGTGTGTGTGTGTGTGTGTGTGCGTGGTCCTGAAAGCACTTCACTCCGACAAGGGAACAGATTGCCTTTTCACTAAGCGCTGGCAGGAAGCAATCAGACAGAAAATTGCTCTGGAAAATTGCTCGTTCTGAGTGACTGAGCAGCGAGCGAGGTCCCCGGCCAGAGCGGCCATATGCTCAAACCAGTGAGTGGGCGAGCACATGAATGGGCGAGTGACCCGGTGAATGGAGGGCACTGTGGATGATGGTGACACGATGGTGGCCCGGGTTATCAGGGCACTCTATCGCCGGTTCCTGCTAGCATTAAATGACAGCGGCTGTTCAGGAACATGGTGTCCTTCTGTTGCCGGACCTCTCCGAGGTAAACCGAAACCCCCAGGGTGTGTTTTGACATTTCTTCGGTCTCGTTCACTCGAGAGTTTGTTCAGACCAAGGAGGTCTGTAGCCCTTTGTTAAAAATGCTGGACTCCTTATCCTGTGACCATAACATGGCCATAACATGACCCCTTGAATCTTGTATTTTAGGGCTAAATAAGTATCGTTCAAGCTTGAAGTGGAGAGGAAAACCCTCCCCAATATCTGAAACAAAGCCTCATTTTCTATATGCATCTCCTTTGTGGTATCCAGATCTTCGGGTATCCAGGCCTCTGATTGTGCCAGGTTACCCAGAAAACATCACGGGGGTAGTAGGTGGTCAGGCAAAGCTGGCGTGTAAAATCCACCGGCCGGCGTCCACCAAGGTGCAGTGGCTGAAGGCTGAGGTTAGCCTGGAAGGACCGCCTCGCCTCAGCGCCCTGACGGTGAGAACAGATCCACCGATAGATACCAACAAACAATTCAATGTTTTGAATGTTATACAAGAGGTTTAAATGATCACTCGCCCACGCAGGTCCTACAGAGCAACGGGTCTAAGGTGAACACTTTGCATCTGTCCAACATCAGTCTGGAGGATGCAGGGGAGTACATCTGCATGGCCGAGAGCACCCACGAAGGACAGATGGTTCAGGCCATGCAGTCGGCGTGGCTGGAGGTCCTGCACGGTACGACACTCTACGACACCACACCAATATTTTGGTTAAAACTGGCTAGTTTTGTACAATGACACTGTCAAACTATACGTCAATGTAGCATCTGTCAAGACCAGGTATTATATTCTAACTTAACTTTTTGACTTACCACAGGTACTATCATTTCTCGAACTGTGGAGCCGACTGTTGCAGACATCCCATCAGGTAACCTAATTCTCATGCTGCAAAATGTTGAATCCAAAATAAACACTGTCAAATCCAAAAGGGTTTTAGTTGAGATCCTTTCCCGACATCGCAATCCCTTCAAATATTGACAATGTGAGAGTTTAAGCTGTTTAGAATAAGTTTGTAAAACCCAGAAAACAGAGCACAGACTTGAAGGCGGTATGGCGGCCATCTGTGTGGGCTCGTCCTCCTCCCCGGGCTGGAATGAACTTCTCTCCTCCCGTCGCTCACTTAGATCTCCAGTGAACCTTCACCGCCCCTCAGATTTACTCTCCGTCCACTGTCACGCTGCAACATGTTCATTAGCTTCGGCTTCCCTTCTCCCTTCTCTTTTCTTTCATTCTTTTTCTTTCTGTTTTGGGAGGGAGTTTGCAGTGTTAGCTAGATGGCTCTCAGTCCCACAATAATCCACAGGGGAACAAAAAGATGAAGAGGAGAAGGGGGTGTGTGGAGGGGGTTGGGATCGGTCAGGCCTCCTGGTCTCCATGGTAATCTCATTGTGTGTCTGTTGGTAGAGGAGATAATGGAGTTGAAGTGTTGAAGGTCATAGTTGAGGGGACGGCCTCTTGCTTCAGAAAGGAGAAGAACAAATAACCTGCTGACATGTGCGTGAAAGAGTAGAATATATAGAAAATGAAGGAAAGAAACAAGGTGAGGGGCACATACTCAAGTTTGTGCCCATTTCTTTCAAAAGGCGCTATTGATGACCGCAGCGAGGACACCTCAGAGCATCTCCTGCTGGAGCCGGGCAACGTCCTGAAATTGCGCTGCGACCCGAGCGCCCGGCCCGGCATGGCGGTGCACTGGTACAAGGAGGCGAGCCGGGTTCTGCCCACACCCCGCATCCAGATCCGCGGAGCCGTCATGGAGATTGCAGACGTGACATACGAGGACTCTGGCCTTTATGTGTGTGTTCTCCGGGGAACCAAAGAGCCTGTGAGGAACTTCACCATCACTGTGGCAGGTAAAGACACCAACAGTTTGTTTAATCCGTCGTTAACATTTTAAGAGTGAACCATGTGAATTATTGGACAAAACAAGCAATGGTATTTCATGTTACTTGGACTTGTTTCCAGACTCGTTGGGGTCGGGGGACGACGATGAGGACAACGGGTTGGACGACTCATCGGCTGAGATCGAAAACGACCAGGTCTACTTCTCCGGAGGTACGTTGCTGCCTTTGTTCCCAGGGCGAGTAGTGCATCTCGACCTCCAGGCCTCTTCGCAGCCATCTCTGACCAACGTCTCATTGGCTGGTGTCAATCGTTACAGGTCCTTACTGGACCCACACCCAGCGTATGGAGAAGAAGCTGTACGCTGTACCCGCGGGCAACACGGTGAAGCTTCGTTGCCCCGCCATGGGCAGCCCCATGCCGAGCATCCGCTGGCTAAAAAATGGGCGTGAATTTAGAGGAGAGCACCGCATCGGTGGCATCAAGGTGAGGATGGGTTCCATGGCTTGAATGCTAAATAAAGCTGAAGGAGACTAGGTTGCATTCGGATGATCTGGGAGAGCTTACAGTGACGCCATAAAGTAAATGTATTTTTTCTGCCTTTTTATTTTGCTAGCTGAGGCACCAGCACTGGAGTTTGGTGATGGAGAGCGTCGTGCCTTCAGACAGAGGGAACTACACTTGCCTGGTGGAGAACAAATATGGCTCCATAACTCACAGCTACGTGCTCGATGTCCTGGGTAAGAAACTTATAATGCAACAAGATTTTAATTTGATCAATACAGGGTTCATAGACAGGCGCTGTTCTTTAAAAATGTAATCTGGCTGACCGTATTCACAGCAGCAATTGTAAGAGTTAAAAAGGCATGCTTGCAAATAACAGCCTCCGGTCGGAGGGAGGGGATATATGCGGGTGGGGTGAGCAGAAGGGGAAAGGGGCGCCTGGGCAGGATGTGGACGATCGGGCGTCCACACCAGTTTTCTACCTGACCTGTGACAAGAAATCGAGGAGGGCAGCGGTTTGTTTGTTCATTTGTTCGCTGTCCGTCCACCGCGGGGTCAGTTTCTGTCCTCGACAACGGGGGGAGAAAACTAACGAGACAACTAACGAGATCAGAGAGCGAGAGTAACCTCAGATCAAAGAGAGCCCGCCGACCAGCTGATAAAGACCCATGCTAGTGGAACAAACTTTCATCCCAAAATGACATTTTCTGCTCTGGAATGCCAGCATGGAAAAATATTCTGTGTGACAGGGACAACTGCTTGGCAATTTCAGTTTCTGTTTACACAAAGCAATAACGTTGGCTGGCTGAGAAACGGCTAAATATCTGGATTTATTAAGCCCTAAGCTCGTTATAATTCCAGTTTTCTGTATTTTTCTTTCCTGTATGGAGACCTTCTGGGACCAAGCTTGACAGATCTTTTAAATTTCCTTCTCCATGTCGCCAAATGATCCCTGAACTGTTGCCCTGAGTAGACCTGAGTTCTGACTGGTTTCTTTTAAAAAAAATCTTTGCTCATTTTTTCTCATCTCTTCAACACAGAGCGTTCCCCACACAGGCCCATCCTGCAGGCCGGTCTACCAGCCAACATCACAGCAGTGGTGGGAAGCGATGTCCAGTTCCTCTGTAAGGTCTACAGCGACGCCCAGCCTCACATTCAGTGGCTCAAACACATTGCAGTCAACGGCAGCCTTTACGGTTCTGATGGGGCGCCTTTCGTTCGGGTACTCAAGGTTGGTCAAACTCCAAAACACTCGAGCATTCTTCGTCTTTTAACTACATCTCCTCCAATCTGCTTTAATATGGTCTGTGATCCTGACGTGCACGTGGCCAAGGAATTAGCATTATTTTGCTAAACAGACATCTCGCAAAACTCTTCAAAATAAATAGCGCAATCATTGTTGTACTAATGTCACTATTTCTGCAATCGTGTTTTGCAGACCGGCAGTCTGAACATGTCAGAGGTGGAGGTGCTCTACCTGTCCAAAGTTGCCATGGAGGATGCAGGAGAGTACACCTGTCTGGCTGGCAATTCAATCGGATTTGCTTACCAGTCCGCCTGGCTCACCGTCCTCTCAGGTAAAGATCTGAAGACCACGTCTCAGAGCTGAGAAATTCAAGGCTCTGGATTTGGCAGCGAAACAAATGAATATAATGTATATTATGTTACAGAACGACTTTAAACATTTTATTGTCCATTTCTTCCTTCAGAAGAGGAAACCGTGGACTCCATTGAGACCATGGAGACAAAGTACACTGACATCATCATCTACGCCTGTGGTTTCCTGGCACTGATCATGGCCATCGTCATCGTGGTGTTGTGTAGAATGCAGGTCCAACCCAGAAGGGAGCCGTTCGATGCGCTGCCAGTACAAAAGCTCTCCAAGTTTCCTCTTCGCAGACAGGTACAGGGCGCTATGCATTATGGGAGCCTCCAAGTTCGCTTCTCTAACTTTGAAAAGTATTTCACTATAACTAAAGCCCCAGGGTATGCTTGTGCATCATATGCAGGAAGCGTACATCCATCTGTTTATAGTTGTTTTGAGCAGCCACACTGGAGACCTTACCACATGCTTATGTCAACAACATTTTTGGTACCTCTTCCTTCAGTACTCGGTGGAGTCCAACTCATCGGGGAAGTCCAGCGCGTCGCTTATGAGGGTGGCTCGACTCTCGTCCAGCTGCTCTCCCATGCTGGCTGGAGTCATGGAGTTTGAATTGCCCTATGACCCGGACTGGGAGTTCCCCAGAGAAAAGTAAGTCATCTGCAGGTTAGAATAGATTCCGCCATCATCTGCAAAGAAATTGTTCTTGAAATTGTTCTGAAAGAGATTAGTGTACAGACTTTGCAGGTTTAAAGTTCTTGCAAAGAGAGTATTTCTTCACTAAGCTTATTACGGTTTCTGGGGGGAAAACCACAGCTGTTGTTAAGTTATACTAACTTTTGCTGTTCCTCCATCCAGTTTAACCTTGGGCAAACCTCTAGGAGAAGGCTGCTTCGGTCAGGTGGTCAGAGCAGATGCCTACGGCATCAATAAGGACTCTCCGGATCCGGCCTCCACTGTGGCGGTCAAGATGCTCAAAGGTAAGAAAGAAAAAATACCTCCACCAAAAGAGATTAGTGTAAGCCCGCGGCCTCTTCTAAACAAAATGCATCCTTTCCTTAAGATGACGCCACAGACAAAGATCTGGCAGACCTCATCTCGGAGATGGAGCTCATGAAGGTCATGGACAAACACAAGAACATCATAAACCTGCTTGGGGTTTGCACACAGGATGGTGAGTGTCTGACTAAACTACTTCAACAGAGTGTCATTATTGTTCATCTCAACAAACAACTAATTCAGTCAGTGTTTCAATGATGGTGGTCCCAAGTCTCAAGGCTAAAGCAACAATAGAAACCACCCCGTCCTTCATCCCGTTTGCCTTCCCCCCCTCAGGGCCTCTGTATGTGCTGGTGGAGTACGCCTCCAAAGGCAGTCTGAGGGAGTACCTGCGGGCCCGGAGACCCCCCGGCACCGACTACACCTTTGATATGACTAAAGTGCCCGAAGAGCAGCTCACCTTCAAAGACCTGCTGTCCTGCGCCTACCAGGTGGCCAGAGGCATGGAGTACCTGGCCTCCAAAAGGGTACGCTCACTTTGAATTGCGGAAATAACAGCCTGTGGGGGCCGAAATGTATTTTTTTACAGACATATTTGAAAACATCATCTCAGGTTCTGGGAATTTGCTTTGTGATTTATGTTCAACGCAAGACTGAAAAAAAAGAAATGACATAAGAGTGGTACTTGTGAATCAGACCCCAATTCAGTAAAACGTCATTGGCCTGTAAATAGAGCCAGAAAAGAAAAGCAGGGTAGTAAAATATTTTTTAGTTGAAGTCTAGAACTGGAATTAGGATTAAGTTCTCGTCTCTTTCTGTGTTTTTGGATTGGAGAACTTGGCCTACAGATGGATTTCTCTGCATCTGTCTGCCCCTTTCTTCCCATCCCAACCCCCTCATGTTATTACCCCTTTCGTTTTTCCCACCATGCACTCTGTGTGCTTCTAATCAACACGTCTCTTTGTCTGCCAACCGGTGTCTCAGACAGGCATTCCTGAGCAGAAAGCTGCAGCAGCTTCAGCCTTGTTTACCCTTCTCCATCCATCTGTCCGTCCTCTCCATCGCGGGGCTTTGTCCCTTTTAGCGCCGCCATAAATCTGTTAGCAAACAGCCAGCGGAGACGTCGTCTGGGTGCAGGCATCGGGTTTCTGGCTCCACGGCCTCCTAAGAATGCAGGAGCCTGAAACTAACCCTCCATTATGGGGAGACCCGCAAACCAACCCTGGTTCATTGGCGCGTCCCCACAGAACCCACGTCTATTTCGAATGAAAACCAAAATAAACGTAATGATATCCGTTCAATGTGGGCAAACGGTGCCTTTTTACCCCACCCAAAGGGTTTTTTTCTTTCTTCAGACTCCTGGATATCTATATAAAGACTTTATGATTTGGTTGCTTTCACTAAAATGAGCCACTGTGTGTTGACTTTAGACTCTTAAAGTCTTTTCATTTCTGGAAAATGCAGTGAATCATTATTGTTTCCCGTAACACCATGTTTTTACATGAACATACCGCCACTTGGAACAGAAGAGAAAGAGTTGTGCCACAGGTCTTAATTCAAAGGGGCGTTACATGGAGACCCTTTTGAATTACAATTACCACAATATTGTTCTGTCAGGAATTTAGTTTTAATACGTTTGAATTGAATTCATACTATCCGTTTTCCAAATTCAACATTGAATCTCTGAGCATTTTATTCAGGCCTTAAGCTCACTTTTTTGGTCCAGTCTTTAATTCTCTCTCTTCTCTCTGCAGTGCATCCACAGAGATCTGGCAGCCAGAAACGTTCTGGTGACCGAGGACAACGTGATGAAGATCGCCGACTTCGGCCTGGCCAGAGGAGTCCACCAGATCGACTACTACAAGAAAACCACAAATGTGAGTCAGTCGGTAGCGGCATGTAGTTAGGAATCACTTTTATTTTGCCACAGTAAAGAAAGTTGCTTTCCGGTGGGGAGAATAAGAGTGCAACTAAAATACTGCTCTTCTTTTTAGAGATATTTCCTCTAAAATGTACCATTTTAAAATCATCAAATAAAACAAATGAAATAAATGAAACAGATGTATATATATATATATTGGATTGTTAGTGGTCAAAAGAGGAAGCTAGTAGTGTCCGCTCCTCAGCCAGCTTCAATACACCTCAAGACCGCTGTCTGATGTTTTCCTCTGATTGGCGGCAGGCTTAATGGGACTTAATCAGAAAAGAGGGTGGACGAGGAGGGAGGGATGGAGAAAGAAGGAAGAAAGGAAGAAAGAATGTTATAGACGGAAGGAAGAAAGTGTCGATGCCATGAATGAAGGCGAGTCTCTGACTTGTCCGTGTTTGCTTCGCAGGGACGGCTGCCGGTGAAGTGGATGGCACCAGAGGCTTTGTTCGACAGGGTCTACACACACCAGAGCGACGTGTAAGTTCAACTTCTCGCATCTAAAATACCTGCAGGGAAACAGTCGGTCAGCAACGACCCGGGTCGATCGTGTCTTCAAACGCCCCGTTGCTCCAACATCGTTCGTTCGCCACTGCAAACAAAAGAAAAAGTCGACGTGCCCTGATCCTCTGGTCCCTGCTCAGGTGGTCCTTCGGTGTCCTGATGTGGGAGATCTTCACGCTGGGCGGCTCGCCGTACCCCGGTATCCCCGTCGAGGAGCTCTTCAAGCTGCTGAAGGAAGGACACCGCATGGACAAACCCTCCAACTGCACACATGAACTGTAAGCCAGATGTCTTACCTGTGGTGCTTTTTGTATGTTATGGGCAGACAGCCGTGACGGAGGGGTGTTGACTTCATATGATGATAGAACATCATATGATAACAGAAGAACATATGAACAATTACAGATACTTTAAAAAGCTACATGCAAACCGGCTGCATGCATATGATGTGAGTACCTAAAAAAAACACAAGGACGTTTAGGAAAAGTCCTGAAATATGCTTCCCAAATAAATGCATAAAAGAGCAAATGTGGTTCAATAAAGATGAAAAGAGTCTTTTTGAGTCAAGAATCGTATCCCGCTATTGATTAAACAGATCCCTTTTTTACATTGAAATGTTCCCACTGTGGTGTAACATCCTTTATTTATCAAAAAATGTGTATGAACCCTGTATACAGCAGAAATAACACACATACATAACATGAGCATTGGGTTTAACTAAACTTAACCTCAAGCTAACAATGTGAAACCATTATTTCATTGTAGAAACGGTCTAAGTGACGTGTGTTTGTTTCTTCTTCTCATCAGCTACATGATGATGCGTGAGTGCTGGCATGCTGTTCCCACCCAGAGGCCGACCTTCAAGCAGCTGGTGGAGGAGCTGGACAAAGTGCTGCTGTCCATCTCCGACGAGGTGGGTTTTTTAAAACACACGTACAAACTGCACACCAACACACAAGCGCACAGCCTCGTGCTGATGGCTATGATTAAACGTGTCAATGTCTCTAGTTGCCACTGCCAGCCTTTCCCTAACGCCTGAACTCCCTCCATTCCCTCAGTACCTGGACTTGTCGACGCCCTTCGAGCAGTACTCGCCTTCCTGCGAGGACACGTCCAGCTCCTGCTCCTCCGACAACGACTCTGTCTTTACCCACGATGCATTGTCCACTGACCCCTGTCTCCTGGGCTACAAGGACTAGCGCTCCAGGGTGGACGTGAAGACGCCCCCCCCCCCTCCCCTTGAGTTTACAGACAGTGACAAAACACATGTAACGCACCCACCGGCGGCCATATTGGGGGTCCGCGGAAGCCTTTGGTTGAAGTTGGACCTCCATTGTGGCCCCAGAAGAAGCCCTTAGATATAGGCGGGCGTTTATACACACACATATAAACACATGTACGCACGTGGAGCACTGAGGCCGACGGGCCTCATCACACGGTGAAGGTCTGAAGAGAAACGTTTCATCGGGGCCATGAGAGAAGAGGACAAAACTAAAAACTATCAGCTCCTGTGTCCAAGAACAGTTGTAAACGTTGGAAAACTGCGGCACTAAACACAAAAGGAACTTGGTACCCATAGAGATCATTTCTCTGAAGGACAATGACCTCCTCACACAACCAGGGCGCGACACCTCGGTGATAAGACATTCGAACTAAAATAAAAAGATTTATTTTGCTATGATAAAAAGAGAAGGAACTAATAGTTAAATATAAATCTCTCTATATAAGATTATTTTACTTTTGTTTTGCCTATTTAAAGAAGAAAAAAAACGGTCTTAAATCTCAGGATCTCGTGTGCTAAGATGCGGCTGTAGTGACAGCAAAGTGCCTGATTTCCTGTGAATATATTTGAATTTTAAAATATTGTATGTACATATCAGTGGCAGAAAGACGATTGCCTTTATAAATTATTCTTAATGACACAAAAATGAAGGTTATTGGAGGCGAAAGGAGAGAGGAATTAAATCAAGTGTTTCAAGTGCCAAACGTGTTGCAGCTGTATTAATGTTTGGGTTTCATTCCAAAATGCTTAATTTAAAGGCAACATTGAACTAACATTGAATTCACCCCCGAGTCATAAACTAGAGATCGGTTTGATTGCTTTACATCAGCAGCTCTTGTTAACAAAGTGAGAATAAAAACCAACCAGCATGTCATCCAAAAATAATGGATTTGGTCTTACGTTTCGGGCATACATTACACATTTTTGGAATGAACCCCCACCCACCCTAATCACCCCCACACCCCCCCCCCCCATTTTGCCCTTTTGTAGTAAACCACTTTGTCCTCCAGCCCAATCAAACAGTTTGTGGTTAAATACCAGCAGGAGTTCCGGTTCCTCGTCGCTGTTGTTGGATGAAAACCACCAGTGTTTTGGCATCGGATGAATTTCTTAAGTTATAAAAGGAGCTTTTGGGAGGTTCAGGCGGCCGTGACGTGGTCTTCCTCCAACGACACCTTCACTCCCTCAGTGTCCATCGTCAGAGACAGTGGTTCAGAGACAGCGTGTCCAGGGAGGGACCCAACCCTGAAAGGAGGACTGACGATTCAGCATCAGGGGCCCCGTTGAAGAGCCGGCCCAAGCCACTGTCACTGTTGACACGGGGGGGCGGGGGGGGGCTGCATGTGAAAGCCAGTGTGATAGATTTCAAATAGAGGAGATGGGGTGGGGTGGGGGGGTCCTTTGTCTTGATGTAACCCTTCACCCAGCCCAATCTGTTGGCGAGGGGTCCTCAGGTCCCCAGCCCGGCCGGACAATGAAGGCTTTGCAGGCTTAATGGGTGTGACTGCGGACCAGAGGGAGTTCTACGGAGGTGGGGGGCTTCGGGAGGGGGGGGGGGGGCAGCTTGGGCTTGTGTGCAAATGAAGAGGCTCTTATTATGTTAATGTCTCCTCTTCTCTCCCCAAACGCCCCTATCTTTATCCCCACAGCCACCATTTTTTTTTAAATTACGGATCTTAATTCAGATCCGCCGGTGGGACCAGCTGCAGCAGGAGACAACCCGAGTCCCCGCTGCCCCCCCCCCCTGAATCAGACCCCAGACACACAAAAAAACATTTTAACAGTTGTATGAAAATGCGCAGTATCATTGATTTTGGTCTGAACCACGTGTGTCTGTCCTTAAATGGGGTTTAAATGTATCACCAGCTACATTATTCTCTGGTCCTGTTTGTTTCAATTTAAAAATGAAGGGGTTTCAATTCAAAACGCTTTGTAACAGTTTAGTCAGTGAAGGATTGTCGCGTCTTCTCGCCTCGGCTGTTTGCCTACCACGCTGTCAACGATCCGGTGACAGTTGGCGTCTTATTTTAGAAGCTCTTTTCATTTAAATGCCAACGTAGGCAAAGTATCTGGATACATCTGCATCTTTACATTCCAGTTATCTGCTCTTCAGACTCAAAACAATCACAGCGTTCTTAAAAACATTTTCTCCAGATAATTATTTTAGAAATATCTAATTTATTTGTTCATTGTTTTGTTTTTATATGAAATAAAGTATAATTTAAAGTGACGCAGCTCTGTGTTGTTTTTTTCTGTCTTCATTAAAACAATGGTGATATTGTCCAAACTGATGCTAATGTTCAGGCATTGATCAGACATAATTATCATTAGCATGATCAAAGAAAGGATTCCGTGCTCATTAGTATTTCAGTGCATTAGAATCCAGTATCTGTGTAAATTCACCTCTCTGGGACCAATTATTTGTAGTTTTGTTGCTAGAAGTAATATTGTTCAGTCTGCATGCGACCAAACCTTCATTCACTTATAAGAACACTAGAAAAGACAGAGTGAATGAAAAATGTGAGAAAGATGAAAGACAGAGACGGCGCGCCTTGAGTATCAAGAGATGGAGGTCAAGGGTCAAGAGGAGGGAGGAGAAGGCCGCAGTGATCCCACCCAGCCCGGCCTTTTGAAGTGTGTGTGTGTGTGTGTGTCTGTTATCTCCTGTGTGCACGGTGTGTGGTCTGTACATGTGTGTATGTCTCTTATCTCCCATGTACAATAAATCATTTTCACCAGAGCGTCTCTCTCTGGGCTCCCCTCCAGCATGATCTGATAAAAGTCTCAGTCTGGGTGCCTGGAGGTGTGTGTGTGTGTGTGTGTGTACGAGGTTTTGAAGTAAATCTCTTCTCCTCCACTTCTTTGTGAAAACACCTTTTAAACGTCACTATTGACGTGCATTGATTCAGCATGCTCTGTGTCTTTTCCTCGGCGTGGATGTCAAACAAACATCTGCAGAGGTGCGAGTCCGGTCCGAGATGTCTCCAAAGTGGAGCTGAACCGGCTTTCCAGTCTGCAGCAGAGCACGATTACGCATTACTGCCTCACTGCGATCAGCAAACCTCATGAGCTGCAACGAAGTTTGTTTCACATTGATTCACATTGACTGGACGCTGGCTTGTTAAAGTGCACTTAGGACATTAGAGATCTTCTGTTAAAGGCATCCTGTTGTCACTATTTAAGTGCCATTCACGTAGCACACGCTGCAATCTGCAAAGAAACAAGCCAAACGTCTTGATAGTGAATGAACTGCAGGTCATTGAGGGATTAAACCAACACATGAGACCATCTCTGATCAAAGAGGCCGAGACATATTCCAGACCTGGCCTCGGGAAATTCCGCCCCGAATTTGTTGAATCGATAGCGGTTATCATCACTTGGCAAATTTCAATAATCCAACAATCGTATTAGTTTGGAAGGCACTGAGACGTTTATCCTTAGAAGGACAAGCAAACTATCTCTGCTTTCACTCTGTGGCGCTTGTCTTGTCCTTCATGAAGTCACGGATGTTACAACCACTCCAGCAACTTTATTGTGTGGCACCGATTCCAGTTCTTGGTCACCTGAGGGCTGTGAAATCTCCGTGAAATAAAGAGATTGGTTTAAAAGGTGGAAAGAAAGAAAGCTCACGATAGAAAGACTGAATAAAAACTTACATTCCTAACATATCTTTTCCTCTTGTAGCAAGTAAACATACAAAAACAAACATCTTCATTCGGAGATTCAATTCAGCTTCATCATTTCTGTTTTCTGGAGACTGAATGAATATAGAACAGAATGAATATAGCCACCATGTGCACAAAGAACGATAATTGATGGTTATGACGTTGGACATCCATCTGTACAGCGCAGTACATAGAAAAACTAAAGTGTGTTTGTCCTGGCGTCCGTTGGAAAACCACGCTGCTTTCCGACCGCCGTCGCTGCTCGGGCCAACAGGCCGCAGCGGCGGCGGCATAATGCTGCTCTCTGTGGCGTCCAATTGTTTGTAGTACGCTGTGGTCGCAGTGGACACAGCCTCGTGTGGGGACGAAACTTGGACCGCTTCATGGGACATTTTGTCTTTCAAAACTCCAATCTGCAGCCAGTAAACAGAGGGAGGAGATGGACACGAAGCAGCTACGTTTATCACTGTTTAAAGTTTAACCACTTCGCTGCACAACACTGAACCCTGGACCATGAGCACACACGCTGTTTACAGCCCCCCCCCCCGCCCCCCCGCACGCGGTTTAGTCTGGTTTAGTGTAATGTTTGTTGGTCTGCTTTATCAACTGACCTCCGGAAGTATTTGTGATTCCGTCTGCACACACAGTGCGTGATAAGGCCAGGAAGAGCGTGTGGACACAGGATGTTGAGTTAACGCTGATGCAACCCCAGAGCAGCTTATCACGCAGAGGAGCAGCCGTAACACAACAGGCGGCCACGTGGACGCTACACCGCCGCCGGGCAGAGGGAGCCAGTAACATCACGCCGTCCCGGGGGAAAGGACGGATAAAACGGAACCAAGTAGCAACAAGCACGTCCATGTTGTTTTGGACGTTTTATTTTTTTTTCTTGTTTATTTGTATGGATGCAGAGATCGAAGTGGAAAACCGGAGTCCAATCCCGCTGAAAGTCCAGCGTTTAAAGTCACGATCCTTTCGCCTGTTGGCGCACACGCATGACCTTTAACACAGTTTACATGTCACACGGAGGAATATCGGTGCTCCTTTTTGCTAATGATCACATGGTCGTAGAGGCGTCTCAGAGACAGCGTGACGACGTTTCTCGGTCCGTCTGCAACAGAACGTATCCGGTGACGTCGGAGGACAAACCAAGATTTTTATTTTACGCCAACGTCTACGGTTACCCACGGTTACCCGGGGGGGGGGGGCCGGGGGGGGCAAAACACGGGCGGATGGAGCTCATTGTAAATCCTCTAATCTTCTGAGGGAATCTGTTTTTCTTTTACTGTAAATCCTCATTCACATAAAACAATGCTGAAGTGAACTGGTAATGAGGCGCTCAACTTTCCCTCCTCGCACTAAATACTTTAATGTGTTTACATCTTGCGGTGAAGTGAAAAGTAGATGTCGTGATGTTGTTTGAGGTCGGAGGCCCCGGCGTCCCGCGCAGACAGCAGGGGCCCCATAACTCCCCTCCGCCCGTCTCTGCTGCGCCGACTGGCCCTCGTTATTTATTGCTCTGTGATTTCTGCAGGCTAATTGATTTGGCTCGGCTTTCAGGCTGCAGGGAGACAGGAAGTCAGGCAACCGAGCGCTGGAGACGGAGGAAAGTGTGTTTCTGTCTGTGTGTGTGTGTGTGTGTGTGTTTCACAAGGTGGTCAGTGTTTGTCTACTGGCAAAATAAAGCTGAAAATGTATTTACACGTCAAACATCGGTTGTGTGCAGCAATGAATATGAACTTTTTGTCATTATATTTGGGAGATAACGCGTAGGAATGGACGTCTTTAGTATTTTATTATTCAGGTATCCATACATGTCATCGGCGGTGCAAAGTCATGCATGCAAAACCTTATAAAAGTATCATATGTACCATATTTCTGAATTAATGTTGCTGCTGCATTATCTGTATTATGTTCCTTCACATATCGTCAGCTAGTTTAATCTACAGCAATGCATCATAGCTAATAAAACACAGCCCTGTTACACAGAATGAGGCACTCCAGCAGTATTACAAGTACCTTGAGTTTGTACTTTTCACAGATTCACATAACTTTCCTCATAAAAATAGTACACTCGTTTTTATTTGTAGAAACGTTGATTATGAAATGAACAATAAACAGATATTATATCTGATTGGACAAATCAGACTTAGTAGTTTCTAATGGACCGAACTATAACAACGAGCCCCCACAAGTGATTAACTGCACTTTAATCAGGTGCTTTTATTGCCTAAACTGGAGAACGATTCAGTGTGCAAACTGATAGTGATCATGGGTGCAATTAAATGAAAACAACAGCTAAAGGAAAACACATTGAAAACAGCCCCAGAGAACAGCAGTCTGCTTGAGAAAATAGTGAGCGGCAATTGAAATGAAACATTACGCAGATGTGATTAGTACTAAATGGGCTGAAACATACAAATAAGCACGTATGCTCCTTTAAGCCAAACTAAGCAGCGGTTTGAGCCGCGGAAATCAGAGTTCTACGATTTACGTCTCCGTTGCTAAGAGCTTTCAGCTCCTGCAATTAGGGCTCAATTAGATTACCCCCCCCCCCACCCAACCCCCCGACCCTCCCAGACAACACTTAGTGAAGGTCAGCAGCTCGCTGAGATCAGGCCGCTCGATGAAAAGAGCATCAGTGAACTGGTGACCAGCTGTTGTGTCAAAAGAAGCCCCGCTACCCCCCCCCGTCCCCCCCCCCCCCCCCCCACCCCTCCCCTCCCTCCCCAAGGCCCCGATGGACAGGAGGTGGAAGAGGTCTGATGTCTGATTGCCTGATTGCAACACTGCAAACTGTTGTTTCTACGCAATTCAGGTTTGCATTAAAAACCAAGAAGATGCACAAAAGCGTGTTTTTGGGACATTTGTCCTTTTCTCCCACGTCCCGTCGCTATGGTAGGCTAAACACGCTATGCTAGGCTAGGTATTAGACTCTCAGAGAGAGAGCACATCGGTGCAATTCTCCCAAAATGTTTACACTTTTTGGGAATCAGAAGTATATACAGTTTTCTCTCTCAGCTGGATATGATATAAAAAGAGACGCTTCTCAGCGTCTCCCACGAGATGTGATATATATATATATATATATATATATATATATATATATATATATATATATATATATATATATATATTTCCTAATGAGAGAAGTGTCGTCGGAGAGGTCATGCAAACCTTTATAAAACTTTTGAGAGTTTCAGCAGCTGTTGAGAGAAAAGGAAGTCTCTGCCAAGGAGGCAGAAAAATGTGTGAATAATCTAATCCAACCCCAAACTCCACGGCTGCCTCTTTTAAATGGGGAAATGTTTCTGGACGTGAACCCGGACGCGCTGGTTCTCCCGCAACAATCGCCTCTCTTCAGGTGGGAAAGGGAAGGATTAAACAGGATAAGTGAGAAGCGCGTTTTGCAATCCAAAGCTCTGATTGTGGAGCCGTGAAACTACTACATGGTTTTGATTTAGAGATCAAGATTTCTCCTTTTCATGGGAAATAACGCAACGTGTTTTTTCTTTTCTTTTCTTTATAAATTGGGCATAACCCGCTTTGCTTCCAGACTAAACCC